ACCTCGAAAAGAAAATTTTCTTAAAATTTTGAAGAATCCTTCAAATAAAAGTTGTATGTACTGCTATTACCTACAAGAAAGATCATATACAATTTTTTCTATCTCAACGTTTTATGCTTCATTATTATTTTCCAAGGCACTTTAATATGAAAAACTGGAAGTCAAGAATTGCATAGTTCTGCAAGTTGGCGTGTAATTCGAAGCATTTCAATAACAGTAGGGAATATTTTAAACATGCCGGAATAGTCTGAAAAGGTTAAACAAACTGACCGTTCTGTAGAACGGGGAAGCGCTCAATAATTAACAGTTCCCAAGGCTCTTCTACAAATGTACTAATGAGAATCCCATTTCACATGCATTTTAAGATCTCACTTGAGACAATTGGGTTGCGAGCTGGTATGTGTGCACCTCAGACACTTTGGCTCCATTAAACGGTATTCGACGTAGAAATTAAATTTCGTTCTGCAGTATAACACAAATATTCACTTTAACTGTGTGCTCAATGCACATAGCAAATTTGTGTCCATAAACAGTGATGAGACAAAGAAAATATTTGCTATTGCTTATTTGTACGGCACGCGTATGCACATCCAACATAAATAGGCAAATGGAAGATCTGTTCGTGTATTTTAATTTAGTCACGATAAGCAGTTGTATTTTTTTATAGGTTCTCAGTTCATTTACCCGTGGCAAACGAACCATTGATTCCATTAATGAGATTGCTCGTAATTAATGATATTAAAATCGGCATTCGAGGAAGACCGTGGTGCAGTCTAGATTGGAAATTACCATAACATTCGTGCGGATCTCTCCTGACGATCCATGCAGATTCGAGATACTGTTGCAGCGGAACATAAACCACAAAATGAGAGTAACCCGCATCACCGGTTGACAGAGTCAACACAGTTGAGGTAAAGCAATTAAGGCAACGAGTTAGTAAAACGATTATCCTCCGCATTTTATCGCGTTTATAAACACGTACGAACGTACACGTAATGTCGTATAGGTGAACGATAATTAATAAGAGATATTGAACAGCAAAAGGGAAGTACACGAGATGATTGAAAACAATGAAACCCCCGTAAGCTATATTTACTTAATTTAGATTCTAGTCAGCAATTTAGTCAGCATCTTTTCAAAAACTGTCTTCTTCAATCATACTTCCATTTTCATTTTCCCGATAGAAGAAAATCTAATGTCACGAGCAATCGCGATAAGGGAAATGGTTATTAATTTCTTTAATTAATTAAAACTCTGTCTGAAGTTTACGAGTTTCAGTGAAATGATCCGAAGAGACATCACTTTGAAGAGAAAAGAAATGAAATCTCTACGAGTCTACTCTACGAGTCACCCGTTTAACATTTAAGACTTTTCCACAGGGCAAACACTTTTATCCTAGCTTAGGCAATGCCACGGGTAAATAGATCCGCAAAACGGAAAACAATTTTTATCAAAGTTCTTCGATCAATGAAACGCGAACAATACTATCGGACAGAGGAACAATAAAATTTGTACTCAACTTCCGCAGCTAGTGATTTATAAATAACATTTCTGAAGGTACGGAGGAAATTGCGATTTTCTTGTAACTGCGGATAAGCAGAAATTAAAAAAGGTTGACAGAATGGAAAAAATATATTGAACACAAGCACTTGGGAGTTATTTGCTTCAGCAATGTTACTGACAGTGAATGATGGTGTTATAGATGATAAAATGCGTTCAGAGTTTCATTATTTTTAACAATCGTTTACTTTCCATCCAATTTATATCCATCGACGATATAAAATCAGCTAACGTTCCACTTATCGTATTGATAAATGTTGAGATATATTCTATTAGTATTGAAATGTCAATGCAACAGAATTATGAATCTGCTTGACGTGTACAAATTGTTTCACCTTGATTTTGGATTCATAGCAATGGACAATAAGATAAAACTTGGAAATTGGAAAATTCGCGAAACAAAACGATGTTCCGTGTGCACCAACCCGATGGAAAAGCGGATATTAAACCGAAAATCCTTCAAGCTCCTAGGATATTACGGTGGTATTTTAATTGTTCAGTGTATATATTTGCACAAAGACTAGTCATTGTTTTAGAAATTACTTGTTAAGCAATCGTAGGTATATATGTACGTATAGTTTGAATAATCCTTAACCTGTTGATCAACGATTCAGCAACCCACACGAATATACAAATTGAAATATGACATTTTCATTCCCATTGGCATGTAAAGCAAATGTGTAATACATAACTACCATTGACGTAACTGTTGCACCCTTTGAGTTACATTGAAAACATTACATTCTAAATAACAATTTTCTCTTAATTAAAATTCTCATTGAAGCTTGGTTACTCTTACAAAATTAAATAATGATGAAAGCTATCCCTAAATTATTCCTGAATTCGTATTGAAATGTGATCTTAGCTTTCGTGCGTAAAAAATAAAATATTACAGACGCAGAGGGGAATCTATCTTTGTCCAGCAATTACGTGAGGGCATTGTATTGTTGATATCGAATAGTGCCAGACATTGACGTTGAGTGACGTCGAAAGGAACGTGAGGCAAAGTCCGAAAGAGCGATTGACAATGGAGCTGTACTCAGAAGCCAAACCAATCAGAAGAATTCCATTCTCTTGGAAAATTCTTCCACTCGACATCAAATCTTTGATTGAAATATTTTCCAAAACGCTAAGAAAAAAACGGATTGCCAAAGGAATTCACATTTGATACACCATGCAATCAATTTCGAAAGAATGCAGTGGTTGAATTTCACTTCTCTTGGGCTTAGACCATGCGTGTAATAGCGGTGATATAAAAAGAGGAGAGAAAGGTCATTTCTTGTTCATTTTTTCTATTTTCTCGGAGCGAGTTCCGCGCAGAGGGAAGGGTTGAAGAAGCAGCAGTCAAGGGGTATGCACGTTTTCACGCCGCGTTGGTGCTCTCATTGTCCGGTTGCAACACTGCACTTCGTCGACGGCGCACAGCCGCTCTGCTGTGCAGGTATCGCGACCCTTTATGGTCAAAGTACTCCGGATGCCGGTCAAGTGAATATGTGCGACCTATTTGTAATTTACTAACTAAGCTCAATATTAATTGAACCCTTTGACACTGATTCGATAAGTTTGATTGACATTCTTCATTAACTATTTAACGCCTTTGATAGTTAGGCAACTTCTTGGAGTACGTAATAGGAACTCGTTCAACTGTTAAAGATACTTGATGTAACAAATATGCGAGAATAGATTGAATGATATCTTTGGGAGTCGTTTTTAATTTATTTCGTTATTATCGAATTTTGAGTACGTGGCGATTATTAGTCGCTACTGCGAATCTAAATATAATTACCTTCATTAACAATATTACAATCGAGCACCGATTCATCATTAGCAGAAAATACATTGCGATGTAATTTATTACGAGAGGCAGCGAGTTAAGTGAGAGATAACTGATTTCAAAATTTTGTGATTGATTTTTGAACTGCGCATTTCGAGTACAAATATTTGGACAGTATAATCATGCGAAAAATCAAATTAAACTGCGTATTTAGGAAAAGAATATGAATGACTTTTCTTCTAATGTATTTTTATTGCACTTTTCCAATAGTTCTGCAATAATTCTTGTCTGCAGGAAATGTCAATTTTACTCCGCTAATGATTGATCGAGCGAAATGTCAAAGTTCAGTTCTACGTTTACTGTTCGACGTTAAATGATTTGATACTTTCGCAACGTTTCGACGAGTTTGCCAAATGGATCGCGTACACGCGTTTAAACAGTATTAATCGTGTTAGTCGAATATCATAATTAGTCGAGCAAATTGTTTCCACAATTCCGATCTCAACGGGTATCTACCTGTAATGAATATGATTTGTATTGTACATCGGCTTTCCTTGCATTCGTCAATAATAATCAGATTTACGCTCGCTGCTTTTAGGTAAAGGTTCACGTTTAATACCGTGGCCTGATTAAATATTCCAGCATTTATTATTAAAGGTAAAGCAGACTTTTAAAAAATTACGATGCGTTAAAATTTATTTAAATGTAATATTGCATTTGTGTAAGTCGGCAACGAGAGATTATTTTTTTAATGATTCACGAATCTTCATTCGACAAGTGTCCCACTTATGCCATTATAGCAGTTTAAGAGTACATCTGTTTAACGACGATCATCTTTAATGAGTGGAGTATTTCAAATTAATCTTGAGCGTTCTCGTCGCTGGCAAACGACACTTCTTTCCTTCTGAATTAATTCGTTTCGACGAACCGTGATAAAAATTACTTTTTTAATAAAAGTTTGCTGCTGACGCGCTGATGACCGTTGTCTATCGCATTACTGTCTTGATGAGATAATACTTTTTAAAGTAAACAAATTTCATAATTTCCGCAACATTTATTTTTAATTGGAATTTAGATAAGAAATGCGAAAATAAATGTAAAATGTAGTGGAAGTAATTGTTGGTATATAATTTACTATATAATAACATAATACGATTTTCAAGAGAGATATTGAAGTAATACTGCTTAAAATGTGGATGTTAAAAATGTAAAGGGAAGGAATTTTTTTTAGCATTTGTTCAATATTGATGTGTTGCTATGGTGAACATTTCATGTATGTGCAAGTACTTACGTATGGTATCATAAATATATTTACATGTATTGCATATTTATAAGCATTCTTGTTTTATTTATCAACAGTATTTGCGAGGACTAATTATGAGATCGAAGTGAAGACTTTTAACAAATAGAATTTAAGGAATGTATAAAATAGAAATTGCTTTTATTTTTCATGCCAAGAAGATATCTAACGAATTACGATTTTAAATAAAATTCCGGTTCACTTCTCTCATCAACAAATTTTCTCCCATCCGGCGGGACATTCGAATTTTTAATAACGCTTCTGTCGCGTTTTCTATTTTCTTAAGAAGTTCCTCACAAAATCTTCCAAACAATCGTTTGAATATCGACTGAAGCAAATCGTGGAATGAAGAAAATTAGGACTCACCAGGAAAACAAGGAAAGAGGCAACGAAGAAGCCAGCTCGGTCGTTTCCCGGAGACGATAGCCGGTGTTCTCGTGACAAGTGGTATCAATGCCGGAGAAAAATGTATATCTGTTATAGCACAGTGACAGTCATATGCCGTGCTCGCGAATCGTTTCGTCTTCGGGTATATACCACGTACAACGACCTCTTCGTGATCCGTTTCTTGCTGTGCGCTACGCGTTCACCTGTTCGCGTGCCATTCAAACGTATCAGCACGAAGGGGTCCGTCGGGTGTCGTGCGACGACGCGTCCCGGAAGCGCAGCGCTGTTGCCTACGCGAGTCGGACGTCCGACCGCGTCTTTAACAATTATTTGCAACCGATCGCTGTTAAGAGATAAGGGCTCGTTTGGAGGGTAGCGCGGATCCGTTCCTACCGCGTCCACTGTCGAAGCGGTACTACGAGGCTCGTTGCGACCCGGCGTCCCCTTCTACCATCGACCTGGAACCTAGCTACCAATCCCGTTCGCGGATCCGTCAACGTTTAAACCCGTTCCGTTGGATCCGTCGACGGCCGAGGATGTCAGATATACACGAGGGGGTGGAAAGCACTTTCGGCGGTCTCACGTGTTGCTTCGCTGTAAACACCGACAATATGGACTTCATTCAATTATCGAAAACGGGCTGCTGATTTTCGGGGCTCAGCTACTCGGCGAACATCGCTGCAGGGTATAAACCGGAAATCTGGCGGAATGTTTTAATCGGAATTTTTCATGAACGTTGAAATGCAATATTTGCTTTTCCCCTTCGGCATAAAGAAGACATTTATGTCGAAATTTTTGCTCTCGTCCTGAATTCGTTTTTTATACATTCGTAGAAAAACTGGTATAAAAATTCAAAAGAAATTCACATTACGTCGTCGGACGCGAACTATCTGCTGGCGTTACGACTGCTACATAGAGGCACTATCAATTACTATTTGATTGTATGATAACGTTCTATTAACGCTTCTAACAACGATCCATTACGCTACATTACAGCACCGATTAGTTTTCATAATCTACCTCGGTACTGAGACAAATCAAGCAAAGCTTCTCTGGTACTTCACGTGAACTTATTATAATTAAGCTTAATTCGACAATAAGATAACAGATGTATCTTGATACATATAAAGACGCCTGACTTTTGCTTTATTATCTTTATAATCCCACTTTCATATATGCGTATAAGAAGAATAGGTAATGTGAATTCTAAAAAAAGAAGTATATGCAATTCGTTTCAAGATTACTGTTATATAATTCTCTTTTCGTATCAGATACACGGAACAGTTGAGAACTGTATTCCATTCTATGCGAACTGTAGAGATAAGAACTAAGTTGAATGATATCACTTTCACGTTAGACCTGCACAGCTTCAGTTCCCATTTTGATATATCAATTTCGATCAAGACTACCATTAAACACAATACAGGCTTTCCTTTAACGAAGTTAGTTTAGAAACTCGTTGGTTATTTTCACAAGAAAGCTTTTTCTTTCTACTGACGAAGAATAAAAGTTGTACACTCCTGCTTTCCGACATTCAAACTCTAACTCGTTGCTTATCGATTTGAAAGCAAAAATTAATTAGGAGAACTGAGAAAATCATCGTTAAAAGATCATCATTCATACACGTGTATTCGTTATATGTACAATTTATTACTAAATGTCTGTATTCACTTTTCTCAGTTTTCACGTTTGCTTCATTGAACTATCTTTTGATATATTCTACGAGCGAGGAATTACAAAACATGTTTCGTATCCGGAAATTCTTTTATATTCAAGACCTTAAGTAAATTCAAAATCACCGACGTCATTCGTTACCATGATGAATGAGAAAGTTTAATAATTTCGGACAAGGACTCGACTGTTCATGTCGTTCAACAAAATTTACCGCAGCGTCTGCTTGGAATAAAATTGTAGTTTGTATAACGAAGGAAGGCAAGATCTACTTGGTAAGTAGTTTAATCCAGTAATGTCAGACACGCGGTCTAAGTAGAACGAGATAATTCCTCTGAAGAATGTTTTACTTATCCTAGCTGACGAAAGCATGATCAATTAGTTACATAATTTTGTTTATATTAATATTGCAATCACATGAAATAATGTTAAGATAGATGTTTGAAAAAACGCTTTGCCCACGCAGAAAAGAACGCCGTCCGAGTGTTAATTTATTTCATCGTGGAGGATATTAAACGATATTCGATTATCGTCTCGGAGTTTTTATTCTGTCGGTGAAATACGAACCTTGACTCAGCGAGCATTAATTACGTTATGAAATTTCTTTCGTTTGCCTCCTCGACTTCTCGGTCGTTGTAAAATTTATCTTCGCCGTATAAAATCACGATCAATCTCGATAATGAAATCGCATCCATTAGCTAAATACAAAAAATTGTGCGGAGCCGTGCTATATTTCCCTGGATTGGCAAACCGTGTTAAGATCGTACCAATAGTATTGGACATTTTATCCTGTTAACTGGATCATTCTCTTTTTGTGCGCGCATCCCCTCGTACGAACGATTTACGAAAGGATTTCAGTTTTTGGTGGAACAATAGTCGTTTAATGGAATTGTTTCTGATCTCGTTCATGCACGAGATTTATGGATTCAAATTCTGCTGGGTTTCACGCAGGAGTTTCGTGCAACGCGCGTGCAACTAAATCGAATCTGATTGCGAATGGATATTACATTAAGTGCGTGCACCGCGTTTCGGAATGTTACTTCCATGAATCATTATGACTATATACATTTGAATGAAAATACAGATTTCCTTCTGGACCCGAGTTATAATTGTATAATCATAGCTAACGGTATCGTACCTTGGCTTTTGTCTACGCTGTATATTAACTACGTATTTGCATTCACAAAATGCGAGCAAGGGAAAATTACGGAATTTAAAGAATAGACGACATTAGCGGGACGATGAAATTACAAAAGATAAGAACCAGGAATCTTGGAAGCGAAATTAATTGTCGAACCTCAAAAGAAATTGCATAAGCTTGTAGCTTCATAAAGCTGAAAGACATGGTAAGACGAAGGAAAAATGAAGACAAGCCTTATTAAAAGTAAGTGAAATCTCGCTGGCTTTGTATCAATTTCAAGAGCCAGTGCACTTGCCTGTACACGTAAGACGTTTGTCGTTTCAACAAAAGCACAGACTGAAACATTTTAAATACGTATAAACTTCAAGAAATGAAACACATGTGAGATTAACAATATTTCTACCTGTGTCAAAAGACACCTTTTGAAACCTTTGCTTAAAATTATTGTTATTAGTTCAATATTTAAAAACGATTAAACTAATGATAATAATTTTAGGCGAAAATTTCAAAAGGTCTCTTTTGACACCGCTTGATAGAAATGGTGTTAAGTACACGAATGATATTAGTGAAATGCAGGGAAATATAGAATTCGATGGTGCATTAATAAAATACGATTTGAAATGTAATAGTTTCGTATTTGAAAGACACGACCTCGGTAAATCCGAAGATAATACACTTCCCAGTCTCAATAACACTTGTCCCTTGTAGACCTGAAATCGATTTCTCTGCGGCTGTTCACCCCTATAAAACATGCAACTGCAGCAAACCATTGTGAAATAATCGAAGCTGAATTTCTTTCTTCAATTTCGCATCAAACGTTCATTATTCCGGAGTTAATCTAATTCATTTACGAACACAAGGAAAATACAATTGAATGTAACCGCGAATTTCGAAGCTCTTGTAATTGCTATTTAATTACAATTTATGATATAATTGTTCCGTATTAATTCAGTCAATTTATCAGTTAAATTGAACGGAGAACAATAGCAATTGTTCTGCTATCACGCTTGATACAAGCGTTGCCCTCAACGAAACAGAATTGAGTGTACGTGAAATGGTGTTCAACAGATGCGAGGTGAAAAGCGGCTGGAGAACAAAAAAGGAGAATGAACCACACTCGTTAAATCAGCGCCAATGTGAAGACGTCGCCGCCAGGTTCGAGTCATTACTCTTTTGTAGAAATAAAACCGAGAAGAAAAGCTCAAAGAGAAGTTGCACGCGTTGATTACATGGTGTTACTGACAACAGATATTCCACCTAATTCGTAGTAAGTACTTCGATAATAGCTTTGCTAATTGAAGATCAATTAACATTATCAGATACAAATTGTGTTTCTATTTGTTGTTTCAATCCAATGTGAGAACTGTTCGATTTTATTATCGCGCAAAGACCAATTCTGTTTAATCATTATTATTCCTCTTCAATAGTTGTGCTTTATTAATGATGAATAATTATAATCATTTTGGCAATAACTTGGCGAGAACGCTTGTCCCAAAAACGATTCCGATTAAGCGGCTAGTTTTGCTTTTGTAGGGCGAGACACGAAATACAATTTTAGTTATCGGATTTCTCCGGTAAAAACAAGTCTGCTTTCATCTCGTCTGCAGTAATACGTAGGTACGTTTCACAGTTTCGCGCGAAACTCGCGCCAGTTACGACGTTTGGTTCCCTTTGTAGTATTGCGAGCCTTCGAGGTCGACAATTCATTTTCCACCGCCTGACAAGGCAGCCGGAATAGACGCTTTTCCCGCGAATGCTTTCGCTCCCGCGACTAATTTTCAGAATCACGTCGTTGAATATTTCCCTATCCGTTTTGTACCGATGTAACCGGTTGTTCAACCGCTGACAAATTTCCACCTTAATTTATTTACGCGAAGCAACCGCGAGCACCGTGGTCTTAACTCAGTTGCAAACACGGACACCACGCCATGTCACGCCGCCGCTCGTGCCGCGCTTGTTCCGGGCAATTGGACATAATCTCGCGTAGCTGCTACTGGTTGCACGTGTTTGTGGTGTACTCGGCTGCGGCGAACTTCGAATCGAATTTGTTTGTCAATCAATTCAAATTAAGATGGTGCGCGCTGAATTCGGGTTTGTTTGTACTAACTCTGAATTTATATTAATAGGGTACGCATTTCGTGGAATGCTCGTAAGCGAATTTAAAAGTTGAAATTAACATTAGCTTCTACTTACATACATATACATATGTACCAATATTTTTTTCTTCACGTATGATAACTATACATTGCAAAACGTTTACGCGTTTCCCATGAGAGAAATCTCTTTCGCGTAAGTTGATGAGACAATTTAAGAGAAAATGTAGTACATGCAGACTTTTCCGTCGAGGAAGTAAAAGCCTTCATGGAAATCGAGCTGGAGATTTGGAAAAAATGGAAAGATGTGATAAATACATTTTATATTCACGATCCGTTAATGGATTTTTCTGTTAATTCTGTTGAAACCAGTTTTCATTTTTCTGCTCAATTAGCAAAAAACGCGGAGAGTGTTTAACGAAGCTTTTTAATTATCCAGTAGTCTGTCCCCGACGAATACTATAATAAAGTAATAAGAGACACGAAACGTATCATTTTTATTAAATAAATAATATCATATCGGAAAGGAAAATGTATAGAGGAAAGTATTTTAGTTAGTACAATAAAGGGAGAGATTGCAAATAAATTTTGTTTTTATCATCGGATGCGTCAGTGAGAAATAAAAAACAAGTATTTCCGTACTCGTTCATCGTAGGACGTTTATTTGTTTATATAAATAAGCGCTTGTGGAACTGGAAATCCAATAAAACAAGTACTTCACGCTGGCACGACCTGTGAACTCAAAAGTGATTGGAAAACGGGAAAAATAGAAAGGGCGAATAAAAGCGTTCAATGTTCTATGCCACACGATCCGATGGGCCATCGCTTGGCTTCGGGAAAGTCGCAGATCGTTTCCGGGTCGATCGGATCCATCGATGACCGCAAAATTTGCGTTGGCCTAAGTCGAGTCTGTTATCAGGTGGCGGTGATAGTGAAACATCGATTTCGCGGCGACGAACTTTCTTGCTACCTGCAAGTGATGCGGATGCGCAGAAACTTTGACGTCAAACGTTCCCGCTGAACGAACAGGACCATTTCGATATTGATTTTCCGCGGTTTCGAGGTTTCTAGAGCATCTGCCAGCATGACGCGAACGCGGATGTCCACGGGCGCAAGCGCTGGTTCACTCAACATGGTGGTACCCTTTCGCTCTAGAATCGTCTCGTGTCGTAGAACGCGACACGGCCGTGACGATACTTGCTCCAAGATGAGGTCAGTGCACGCGGTACGGCAGCGGTTCGTTTGATTCTCACCCTCTGACAGTAGATCGGGGCTAGCTTCCCGATCAACATGGCCGGAGATGCGTGCATCACTGTTACGTACTTCCTGATCTTCGCGTCGATCGCGGTCATCAATGGTGAGCACCGCATCCGCTTCTCTGCTACCCTTAATTTACTTACAAGTCTTTCCCCGAAGAACATGTTCTCTTCGCAACTTTCAAGTTCACCGAACTTCATTCATATAAGTTATGCTCTAATTTTGCTATATATTTATTATACGACTTTTATTATACGACGAATACATATTCTCTGATATGAACAAAAAATCACGTGCCCATTAAATTCCTAATTTTCTTACAATTTTTGTTTTTTAATTTCCAAATGATTTCTAAAATTTATTCTTAAACACATTTTTTTAATTGGACCTGATAACTGGAGATTATACTTTTCCATAAATATTAATTTATATTTTTTTCTTTATAGTATCTTGGACTTTTATAAATTATTTTTCTATTAGCTTTCAAAAATATGTTAACATTAATGTATTTATCGATTCTCCTTTATTCGCATATCATGGATCATATCAGGACAATTATTATCTACGGAACATCGAACTCATGCTGCGTCGGAACGTGTAAATGATCTATGGTGTTATCGATGCGACACGATTGAAGAGGGAGAGAAATGCATAAATATCACCGAAAATTACACCGATTTCCGGCACAAGTGCATTGGCGATAAAAGGACTTGTATGGTAATGACAAATGATAACATAATTTAGAAAACATTGATCATGCATTTCACGTTTATCCAATTATTTGTTTATAAAACTATTTGCACAATGAATTTTTATTTATGCAGCTATTTGACAGATCCTTAGTTATTACAGGCTCATCCATGAAACAGGAAAATGGTTGATTTTAGGTAAAACGTATTTCTTATACGACCAGCACGGAAGACTCGACCTCCAGTCCCCAAACATGGTCAGTGGAGAGGAACTGCACTAGCAAATGCGAGTCCGGATGTATAGTGATTGGGGAACGCACTAAACTGTTCGCTTGCACCACTTGCTGCGAACAATCGTTCTGCAACGTCGGTACCGGCGCGGCGCACATCCTGATGATGAAAGGGATCGACCTGCTCCTAGACCTGATTCTCCAGATCACGTTGACAATCATCCTGCATCCGTCGTGACACTGTGAATAAGACTAAAAAAAGTACATAGTCCTCGATTTTCCCTCCTTGTAAATAATTCGTTTCATCTCATTCTATCAAATTTCATTCCGTTCTGGAAACGAGTTATCCGCGAATTTTTCGTACCATTTCTGTTTATACACGCGATGTAATATATGTATCTATATGCATGCGTTGTGATTTGTATGTACATATCTAAATATGTAAGTGCGGTATTCCACGTATTTATTACTGAGCTCATTTAATTTTGTAAATGATATAGAGATTCAGTTTTGGATGAGTCTTATTCTGACTGCTATGTTTACGACTGACTATGATTGCTCTTTTAAGAATAAATTGAAAATCGAATAATTACCTTGTTCTTTCATTTATATCCGTATATCACCAATCCGTATAATTTCTGTTTTAATAATTACTGTTTATAATCACAAATATTATGGGAAAGGAGGGTTTAAGTGACCTTTCCACGGCAGGGAATAAATCAGAATTATGCTCGGTTTGGGTTAACTTGGTAAAACTTTATTCGATCTTATTCGCTCGGCTCGCAACTCACAACTGTCTCCACTCGCTCGCGTCTCTCCGCCACACCACCCTCCACACACTCCTCACACATTCTTCACACATTCTTCACACATTCGTCAATCGTCCTATCACGCCACCACCGCTACCGCCAACCGGACGCGTGGAGTCCCAACGGCTCGCGGCGGCCCTTGATCATCGACACCATCCGCGGAACTCGAAACATTGTTTAAACAATGTCGATTCCGCTCGGATGGTTGCCGATAATCCGCTTCCGCTGACCTCCGCGGGTCCTCCACGCGCCGCCTGACGACACGTGGCCACACACATCCTTACACTCATGCATCCTTACATTCCCACACAAGTCGACTTATAAGCGTTTAAGCAGAATGTACCTTGAAAGGGCGCATATATCCTCAAATATCCCTCAGAATTCCGCTTACCAACTGTTTTTTCGGGTAGTTTCCGTTGAAATACACCGTCCTCAAGGGTTCTCAAGAGGCATTCATTCT